CCCCCTCCCCCCTTTTCTTCGGGTCTAAGCCCTTTCTTGCCTTCCCTACCCACCGGTATTTCCCTAGTTTGCTTACCACGTCACCATCCTTCAATTCCCACGTCTCTTGGATCCCCACTACATCTAGATCGCTTTGTTCTACTTGGTCCACTATTACAAGGTAAACAAGGGGGATGGATCAATTTGTTTGCGGATGTGAAGCGTGCTCTTGCAATTGGATTCGCGTGTTCGTGAGGGTACTCGAGGGAAATGACTGCCGAACCCTCGCGTAAGCCACTGGAGGGAGAGGGTATGTCTAACGTAGTGGCTTAGCTGCACATTTGTAATCATGGAACGTGGTACATACAACTCGAAATCTTGCTCTGACCGGCCGAGTACATCAATTTGTTTTTCTGTGAAGGTTGTTGGCCACCGGGGTTAGGGTTCGGGCCGGCCAAGTTCGTTGTCCCGTCGCGTCAATTTCAACTTTCGGCTTGGTTAATTGCCCATTTCCAGTCTATATGGAACGGAGGTTATCGGTGGCAAAGAGCACGAAGGTGCCTGAACTTGTTGTGATTCAAGATATGTCGCGAATGTGCACGATCGTTTGGGCATGTCGTTGCCACAGCAGTTTAGTGGCCTGCTACAAGGTTCAAGCGATATGTTACATCGGTATTGCCATCGTCGAGTGTCTCACGTGGAATGAGGAGGCGTCACAGATGCTCATGTAGCCATTGCTTCGGAGGGAGCAAGAGCACCAAAAATGTCTGCTAGCTGGGGTTGACTGCTACACAAGCACCCCGCCCTGCAATCCTTCCTTCCTTCCGTAAACCCGTTTCGACCCATTCTTGCACACATGACGCCCCGAAATCTTGAAAAAAGCTCGACGAAATGTTCGAGGACGTCGAAGAGGACGGCGAGGAGACATCCTCGACCGATACATCCGCTAGAAGTGACGGTAGTGATGCTTCTGATGGCGCCACGGCGAGTAAACCATTGCCGGATATGACTACGAGTGAGGCTGTGGTGACGAAGGAAGGCAACGCGGCGGAGGCCAAGGCGCGCCTCCTATCCATGTGCCAGGTAACTGAAATGCACACCTCACCCTAGAGATATGTTTCGCCGCGATGCATCAAGTGGTGTTGATGCCCTAGTGCTGAGGTTCGAAGTTGGTGCCAGGGTTGAAGCGGTCTTGTCCGATAGGATCACATTATTTGTTGGTGTGATGCGGTCGGAGTCAAGAAAGAGAAAGCAAGACAAGACGCCGTGCCTCCCATGCTTTTGTAGTTGGTGGCAGGACACCATGAAGCTAGCCTGCGGTATTACTTTAAAAGCGTCTCGACGCACCGTAGCGTGCTTACCCTGGTCGACCGACGAGCGTTGAGGAAGCACCGCTGCAGCTGAATGGCTGGCAGGTCGGGGTCCTGGCAAATGAATTTGACTGGACTATGCACAGGGCGGTTTTAGTGGGGTCAGTGGTGGATGTGAAATTTATCCTTCGTCCGCATAAGAAAGACGACGCGTTGCGAACGTCGAATGAAGCTCATCGTTTTTCTTCGACTCTCATTCACTCCGCCCGTCGCTTGGTTATTGCTGCTCGTTGCAGCGGGAGATGGCGGACTGCGGGATGGGCTGCGGAGAAGACAAGAGGACTGAAATGTTGGAGGTGAGTTTGTCATGGAATGCTTTTATCGCCAGCAGACTTCAAGCTAAAAAAAAGGAAGATATTTCGCCGTGGTTGACGACTCGTCCACAATTGTCGACTTTTTTGTTGCCTTTTTTAAAATTAAGTAAATGCTCCGACGACACTTCGAAAAAAAAAAATACCACGTCGCCGGCACGGCTCCGCGGGCCGAGTGCCGGTGGTGCTGCGTCGAGCAGGTCGACCAGGCGCCCCTCATATCAACCCGGGGCAACGGCTGGCGCTACCGGGGAGAGAGGGAGGAGAGACCTACAGGCGCCAGGCGGTCTTCGGGGCCGGGTACCGCCGTCGCCTGTAGGTCTCTCCCTCCCTCTCCCCGGGGCCGGGACACCGCTGGTTCAACTCGCACCCCCTTGGCGGGGATCCCGACCTCCGGGACTTCCAGGCGTGGGCGCGGACGATGCTGCGCACGGGCCTGGTGCGCCCGCGCGACGCCGACGCCTGGCGGGCGGCCTTCGTCGACTACGAGCCAATAGAATCGCCAGCTGCAGTGGTCTCCTCCACCTGTCGTGCTCGGTCTTGTTGGCCGCTTGCCCCGTCGTGGTCGTTGTTCCGTGCATTGTTGGGGTGTCGTGATGGGTTGCGATACCCGCCACATGGTGCTGGGGTATCGTGGCCGAGAGCTAGCGGCCTTCCACCTGACAGTCCTCGTTGCCCCCCCCCCCCC